ATCTTTATCTCTATTCTGAGAGGTCCCGGTTCTTTTTTATTTGTTGGTAAAACCTACCACTCCCGTCTTGTTGAACACATAGTCTTTGGATCATGTAGGAGAACTATCGGTGAAAGATATTAAAAAGAAACATTAGGTTCAAAATAGAGTCACTTTTGTTAAGCCCCATCAAGATTCAATACCTAAGCTAATTGCAGTTTCAGCCCCTCCCAGTAGGGGAATTTTAAACCAACCAGTCTAGAATTGCTTGATAAGACCGTGGTCACCATTCCTCCAAAGAAAGGTGACCCAGCCTGAAACAATATTTTCTTATCTTTTGCTAATAACTTTCTTGTCCTGCCCAGTTTCTGCTTATAAAAACCTTCCACTTAGTGCAACTTCTCAGATGCTGCCAGATTCATAATTTGTTCGATAAAGCCAATTAGATTTTTACATTTACTCGGTTGAAATTGTGTTCTTTAATAGAGGAAAGCAAATAACAGGTGATAAATAACTAAATAATCAGGTTGCTGGGTGAAGGAGAGTGTGCATGGGGAGGTAGGGGTGGAGAGGAGAGTAGTGTGGGGGTGCAGGGAAGAGCAGGGTGGGGAAGGAAGTGAGAGGAAGCAAATGTTCTTAACCCACTCACTGTCATTATGTGTGACCTCTCAAAGGAGGTGGAGGCCTTGTCTAGGCAGAAGTCATCATTCCTGGCAGGAGGAGGTGGCTCTTGTTGCACCCTTAACCCCATCCTCTCCTTCTGCCTCTTTAGGAAGCAACCAGGAGACTAGGTTTGCTCCTTGAGATGCTTACCCATCGCTGACAATAGTCACAATGTATTACAACAGCTATTTTCAAGTGGTGTTCCGCAGGAATTGTTAAAGCATGCAATACCTGACTATTTGGTCAGGAGCACTGACCCCTTTACCCTTAGATTATCAAATTTTAAAAAATGACAACAGCCAACATAATAGCCAGCCAATGTGAACGAATCAGAATTATATCTATTTTTTTTGTCAGACTGGCAAAAAATATGACATTTTTTGGTGTGTCACAGAATTTTAGTAATTAGTTTATATGTGCCATGAGATGAAAAATGTTGAAAATTGCTGCATTATAACATGGAGACCCACAATTTCAAAAGTGTGATTATGAAATTTAGCATTGATATGAATAAAGGCAAAAGGACTGACTGACAGACTAAAGAAATAGAGACATGACAGATAACATATGTATTTAAAAATTGCATACCCGCTCGGCTGGCGTGCTTCAGTGGTTGAGCATCGACCTAGGTTGACCATAACTAGAAGACTCTCTTTCGAAGTTCTCTTGCCAAAAAATGCCCCTGTTCTTAATTTTTCTTAGAATGCTCCCTCCGTTCTACCAGAAATTTATTTTTTCTTGGATGATGCTGTTTCCATTAACTCTATGAAGTGGAGCCTAGCTATTCCTGGTGAAGTCAGTATGGGCTAGTGGACTGAGAATGTTTCCCAGTCAGCATACTTAAGTTCAAGTCTGAACTACATCCTGGACAAGCAGTGTGTTCTTGGCTTAACTTCTAAAAACCTCAGTTTGCACACCGAGAAGCTGAAGGATCTCTGCCCCCCAAAGTTATTGTGAATTAAAAAGGGGATACGTGGTCTGACATTGTATATCCCATATTCCTGACTGTGTATTTTATAGTTATTTTCTTTTACTTGAAGAGCTACTGCTACTAGCAAAGCCCATCTTTACTACAGTAATTGAATGTAGAGGGAGATTTAGCTGTAAAATTATCCCACCCTTCATGCACATACAGTTTAGGCCCAGGAGAAGTTCTTTTTTAAATTATTATTTTTTTAAATATATTTTATTGATTTTTTTCAGAGAGGAAGGGAGAGCAATAGATAGTTAAAAACATCGATGAGAGGGAAAAGAATAGAAAGTTAGAAACAGATAGAGAAGTCGATCAGCTGCCTCCTGCACATCTCCTACTGGGGATGTGCCCGCAACCCAGGTACATGCCCTTGTCCGGAATCGAACCCGGGACCTTTCAGTCCGCAGGCTGATGCTCTATCCACTGAGCCAAACCGGTTTTGGCCCAGGAGAAGTTCTATAAGGGTTTCTGTCCTTCCCGCCTATACTTGTAACCCTCAGTATGTATCATTGAGTGTCCTGGACCCATAACTTTGTCTTGCACCTGCCCTGAAAATCCCAAACTTACAATTAACGTGGACTTCATTTTCTTTGCTTCTTCTGCCAGGCTGTTGGTTTTAGTGAATATCACATATTGTGATTCATTAGCTTCTCTCTACACATTTATGATTTCAACTTTATCTCAATTCTGAATACTAACTGGGATTCTCTTTACCCATTCCTAGTTGGTGCCCTTTTACAGACCCCTCAACAAATGCTTCAAATCTTTCCGACTCTTTCCAAGCCTCCTATCTTTTCCCCTCCCCATCAGTGGGAGGATGGTGGAGTGATTAAAAAAGCATGAGTTCATTCCTGAGATGAATATGCTCTAGAATAAATAACACAGAAGGCATTTAAAGGGGAAAAAAATCAAAATCTCAGGGTTACCAAGTTTATAGTTAGTATGTTTATGTTGACAAAACAGAAACTTCCCCACATAATTATCATATTTGTAGACGTCAGTATTGCAAAAGTGAGGGAGTTTTTTTTACATTAGGAAGTCAGCAATTGACAGGAAATGGCTTAAGCTTCATTGATTCGGGGAGACTAATTCTAGATGAAATCTTCTTCTTATTTCTAGGCTATCTCAGGGTGTGGAGTTTTTTCCTTCTCTCCAACTGTGGGATCTGTAATTGTAGTCATAGTGGTAGCTGGGCAAAGGATCAGTTTTGCTTTCTCTAAGTGGCCAACAGATATGAATTCTCCTAAATTCCATTTTTCTCAAAGAAATTCACTGGGCCACAGACCATTGAAAACACAAGTTGCTGGGCTTTATCACCTAGGAATTCTGATTTCCAGTGGGTCTGGGATGGAGTCCAAGAATTTGCTTTTTAAATAATTACCTCAGGTGATTCCATGGAGCTCATCCTTTTAGAAACACCGAGGTAATTATATCTTCACTTATTTTTACCTTCTTTTTGCTTCAAGAATATGATATATCCTATTCCTTTTCAAGGCTGATTTCACTATATGTGCTTTTAATTCTATTTATGCCATTTCTTCTGGGTACTTGAGTCATCAGTGAACATCCTTCTCTGGTATTGACAATCTCTTCCTTTTCACAATTGCCTTCCCCTTGGCTTACAAGTACTTTTCACTCATTTACTAAATTTTTATCAAGTGCCTCCTATGTTTCTGGCACATTCTTTAAATTTTTAAAAAATATGTTTTTATTGATTTTAGAGAGAGAGAAGGGGAGAGGGGGAGAGAGAGAAACATTGATGTGAGAGAGAAACATCAATCGGTTGCCTTTGACATGTATCTCAACCTGGGATCGAACCCACAACCTGGGTACATACCCTGACCAGGAATCAAACCAGCAACTTTCGACACAGGATGACACTCAAACAACAGAGCTACCCCAGCTAGGGCTAGATTTATCTTTATCAGTGTTTTTCACTGACTTTTCTTCTCTGCCTACCTCACAATCCCCTAAAAGCCCTTTACAGCCTGTTCCAGCTTGCTTTACCAAGCCACAATTCCTGAAACTCGTTGCCCTATGTGCTTCATTCAAAGGCATGTACCCTTGGGTCCTTGAACACACTATTTCCTTGATGTCTTCACACATGAAGTTTCCTTGTCTGTGAAGTCTGGAATATTGCATGGCAGATCTGTTAGTTATGTGCCTCAGAGCACCCACTGATTTAAGGTCTTCAACATCTGGAATGCTCTGACTAGGATGTGTAGGTGAGGACTGAGCAGCAGGTAGGAGGGCTGCTCAGGAATCTTTCATGTTTCATGTCTCAAGCACACAGGGTGAGAGAGTCAGAGAACAGGAGTAGATAGGGGGACAGGGCAAAATATGGAATTCTGGCTATTGAGGGGAATTGGATATAGGATCTTTGTCTTTTAAAGAGTGGAAAACTGTGGGTGGTTGTTTATAAATATAGTGAACTTCAAATAAGGCACATACTAAGGAAGACTAGGTCAGAAATGCCACCCTCTGGAATTGAAGCTAATGAGAATTATTAAATGTGACGAGATAAATTAAATGTGAGGAGATGAGTTATCTGAAGCAGGGATCCTCCCTTGGAAATTGTTCCCTAAGTGTGTTGCTAATGAAAGAGGGTGTTTCTCAAGTGTCCCTCAAGGACATTAAGTGTTGCATTGAGGGTAGGAAAAGGAGAGTCAGAGGTAGAGTTTCAGATGGTGTGTTTCCAGCAGTGTCCAAAATGAGTTGTTTGTCTTACTATTGAGTTTTAATAATTTCTTAAAAAATCTTGGTTATTCATGAAGCATAGGACCTTGGAAATAGCTATATGAGCTAGTTTCTAGTCTGACCACCTGTGTGTGAGAGTGAAGTGAAGCAGAGATGAGACAACCTTAGTGTTTAATCACTATTTTTTATTGTTAATTTTAATGCAGTCCAGTTATTTGAAACAGATATGTTACAGTCAAACCAAACAACTATACAGCAGTGGCAGATGAGTCTTTCTTTCCCTCTGGGTTTAAAGGCTATTTTCCTATGTAGAAAGGCCAATGAACTATAGAGATAGGTTGGAGCCATTGTATTTCCATGGTATTGCTCTTCCAAAGTTTTGTTTTGTTTTTACCTAGAGCAAATTCTTGGGCAACATCTTTCTTGCTAAAATCAAGTCAGAGCCCTCATTTGGATTTCTTAATCCTGAACTGGTCCATCTCTGCTGTTTAAGAAATAATGCTCTCACTCACTGGCTAGGGAGAAACAAACACCTGGTGCCACTTTTTAAAAAAAAAACAAACATTTTATTGATTTTTTACAGAGAGGAAGGGAGAGGGATAGAGAGCCAGAAACATCGATCAGCTGCCTCCTGCACGTTCCCTACTGGGGATGTGCCCACAACCAAGGTACATGCCCTTGACCGGAATCGAACCTGGGACCTTTCAGTCCGCAGGCCGACGCTCTATCCACTGAGCCAAACCGGTTCTGGCTGGTGCCACTTTTTAATGATGCTGTAGGTTACTGATAAAAGATGCACCTGAGAATAAGGGCTTGATGGTTTTGATCAACTGGGAAACTTCCTACATTACATCTTTGCTCTTAAGATCTTCTTTCTGCTACCATCCAATGTGGGGCACACCAAAAATTATGGTTTACATTGATGTAAGAGAAGCTTTGGTTGAAGAACTGGTAATATAATTTTTTGCTTTTTAAAGATGCAGGCTTAGTTTGGCATAAATAATGAATGGTGAACTCTCAAAAAGACACCTTAACTAAACTCTAGGCTCCATAAATACTTTATATTATGCTTCTAAATTTAGTCCCACACATTATTTATTCAACTCAGGATTTCCTAGCAATGTAGCCCACATACCCTACATTCTTTGGAAGGAACCCAATAACAATGAATAGAATACAATCAAATGAAAAAGATAGAAACAAATACATTCACTTTTAGAAAGACGCTTTATAATAAGTTGCTTGTCTGTTATAGTTTCTTATTTTTTAAATTACTACTTGAGTTAATTTCACTTCTACTTATTATTCATCACTAGAATTAACACCTGTGCTCTTGGAGATATTTATAGAGTGGAGTGCTGCTACTGAAACTGTGGGAACTTGAGTTGGTGCTTCCATCTCCACAGTTATCGCCTTCTGTCTGATAATAATAATGGCCATCTTGTCTATTATCCTCCTTGAACATTGACACTAAATTGGGTGTGTTGGCTGTAGGTTGTCCAAAGCCACAACTCAAGGAGCTTTCTACTTGTCTTTGTCCATGAATACTCTTGTATCTCTCAGACTCACTACTTCTTTCTTCTTCATTGTACCCTGACCGTTCCTGGCTATTTCTTCTTGATTGATTGGGAGTTGAGCCTATTTTGGGTTTACTGTCCTCATCATGAGTACCAATTAAAATTAACCCACATCTTCCTTGTAATTCATGTTGCTCATAGCTAGGACACCAACTGGATCCAGAACCACATTGTTTAGGGCAAGGTGAATGACAGGAGCCATAACCATATTGTTCGGTGTCAGAACACTGACCAGATCCAAAACCATATTGTCCGGAGATAGATGAGTGAGTTGAGCCAAACCCAGATTGTTCGGCGTCAGAACAGTGACCAGATCCCAAACCGTATTGTCCGGAGATAGATGAGTGAGTTGAGCCAAACCCAGATTGTTCGGCGTCAGAACAGTGACCAGATCCCAAACCATATTGTCCAGAGCTAGATGAGTGAGATGAGCAAAACCCAGATTGTTCAGTGCCAGAACACTGACCAGATCCAAAGCCACATTGTTCAGAGCTATATGAGCTAGACCCATATTGTCCAGTGCCAGAATACTGACCAGATTCAAACCCAGATTGTTCAGAGCTGGAACACAGACCTGAGCCAGCTCCATGTTGACTATGGTGTTGGTCACAGCTAGAAGGCTGACTCCATCCACACCCAGATTGGCTATAAGGCTGACCTGAGCCTGACCCATGTTGACCATAGCTAGAAGACTGACCTGAGCCAGAACCATGTTGACCGTAAGAAGACTGACCTGAGCCGGAACCATGTTGACCGTAAGAAGACTGACCTGAGCCGGAACCATGTTGACCGTAAGAAGACTGACCTGAGCCGGAACCATGTTGACCGTAAGAAGACTGACCTGAGCCGGAACCATGTTGACCGTAAGAAGACTGACCTGAGCCAGAACCATGTTGACCGTAAGAAGACTGACCTGAGCCGGAACCATGTTGACCGTAAGAAGACTGACCTGAGCCGGAACCATGTTGACCGTAAGAAGACTGACCTGAGCCGGAACCATGTTGACCGTAAGAAGACTGACCTGAGCCGGAACCATGTTGACCGTAAGAAGACTGACCTGAGCCGGAACCATGTTGACCGTAAGAAGACTGACCTGAGCCGGAACCATGTTGACCGTAAGAAGACTGACCTGAGCCGGAACCATGTTGACCGTAAGAAGACTGACCTGAGCCGGAACCATGTTGACCGTAAGAAGACTGACCTGAGCCGGAACCATGTTGACCGTAAGAAGACTGACCTGAGCCGGAACCATGTTGACCGTAAGAAGACTGACCTGAGCCGGAACCATGTTGACCGTAAGAAGACTGACCTGAGCCGGAACCATGTTGACCGTAAGAAGACTGACCTGAGCCGGAACCATGTTGACCGTAAGAAGACTGACCTGAGCCGGAACCATGTTGACCGTAAGAAGACTGACCTGAGCCGGAACCATGTTGACCGTAAGAAGACTGACCTGAGCCGGAACCATGTTGACCGTAAGAAGACTGACCTGAGCCGGAACCATGTTGACCGTAAGAAGACTGACCTGAGCCGGAACCATGTTGACCGTAAGAAGACTGACCTGAGCCGGAGCCATGTTGACCGTAAGAAGACTGACCTGATCCAAATCCATGTTGCCCAAAGCCAGAAGATTGACCTGAGCTATGTCTGTGTTGTCCACAGCCAGAGGATGGACCTGATCCAGACCTATATTGGCTATGGCTAGAAGATTGACTTGAGCCAGACCTGTGTCGGCTATAGCCAGAGGATTCACCTGATCCAGACCTATGTCGGCTATGGCTAGAAGATTGACTTGAGCCAGACTTGTGTCGACCATAGCCAGAGGTTTGACCTGATTCAGACCCATGTTGTTCATAGCTGGAAGCCTGGCCTAATCCTGATCCATGTTGGCCATAGCTAGAAGACTGACCTGAGCCTGACCCATGTCGGCTGTGGCTAGAAGACTGATTTGATCCAGACCCATGTTGACCATAGCTGGAAGACTGGCCTGAGCTAGTTCCATGGTGTCCAAAGTTTGATGACTGCCTTGAAGTAGAACTATGTTGTCCATAACTAGAGGATTGACCTAAACCAGACCCATGTTGCCCAAAGCCAGAAGACTGACCAAACCCAGGTCCATGTTGTCCACAGCTTGATGACTCACCTAAACTGGATTCTGAATGAGACTCATGGTATCTCTGACTAGAAGATTGATTAGAGCCAGATCCATATTTTCCATAATTAGAGGATTGTCCTGATCCAGAGCCATGCTTTTGTCTTTCACGGTGCCCTGACTGACCACTTGAGTGGGATCCATGTCTTCTTTGACTAGAGGACTGACCTGAGCCAGACTCATGACCATAACCAGTGGGCTTATTTGAATTTGACAAGTGATCTTGTCCTCCACAACTCCCTGAGCTGAATCCATGATGTTGATTTGATTTCTTCTCCTGTAGTCTATTTCCTAAAGATTCATTTGAGTGAGACCCATGTTGGTCAGAACTGAAAGACCGATCCTCTGAGTGGGAACCATGCCCTTGTTCTCCACAACCGCCTGACTGATTTGCCGAGTGTGATCTTTTTCTATAGCTATTTGACTGAGTATAACCATCTTCTTCACTCCCAGACCTTTTTTGTTGATGAGAGCCATACTTATTTTTCTTATTATCCTTGAAGTGGCCCGAGCTTGACTCTTTCCATCTTTCCCCAGAGCTTTGCCTGTGTCCCAAATTAGATGAACCTCCTTGATGCCCAACTCTTCTGGAGCTGGATTGAGGCCTGTGTTTAACGTGTCCTCTGGAGCCCCTAGAATAGGAATCATCCTCTCCTGCACTCCAACTTGAATGCCTGTTGTCCTTCTCTTCTGTTTCACTATGTTCCTCTTGGTGCTGGTGACTGTGATCTCTTTGCTTTGACCCTGAAGCTTGGCAGTAATCTTTGCCGATGATTTTATTACAAGCCTGAGCCAGCTGGAATATCATCAGAAGATACTCAGTAAAATCCACTTTCTTGTTATGATCTCGATCCAGACTTTGCATGATGATATTTACAGTGTCTGGGTCATCTGGATTCTGTATAGGAACAAGGTACAAAGGGCAGCTCTGTCAATATGGACCACATACCCAACTGAAGAAAGGCTGTAAAAATATGAATGCTTAGCTTACATAGGTTAATCCACATAGTCCCTTAGGCTGGACTGTGCTATCCTGAGCACGAGAGAAGGAAATATGCAATGAATAATGCAGTGAGAAATAGAAGAATATGCAACTAGAAGATTATTTTTTGTAAGGAATGGGTCAAATATAAATGATTAGCTAATTAATAATAATTTTAGATACCTATATTATATATGATTTTTCTTTATTTGTCCAGCTTAATTCATTAACTCATTAATTCATTTACTCATTTAACAGGTTTATTTTGCACCTACTATCTGCCTTTCATTCAGTTAGGTGCAATGAACAAGTTTGGTTCTTGACAAAATGGAACTTAAAGTCTAGTGGGCCAGACGCACAAACTTAAAAATCACAGTTTATTGTGATGTTTCTATGAGAATACACCAGAGGGGAGCCATTGTGGGTTCAAGGAAGGTTACTGAGGGGAAGTGATGTCTTTTGAAGGATGGGTTGGACCCAGGTAGAGGGAACAATACGAACAAAGAGCTGGCGGTAAGAGAAGACATGGCTCATATAGAAAGAACTGAAAGAAATTCAGAATTGCTAAATTTAGAGTCTTAGCAGTGAAGAGACATGGCTAGAGAGGTAAATATGGAGCAAATCATGCCTTTGAAGTTATCTTAAGTAATTCTGGACTTTATTTTAAGAACTGGGAGCTATTGAAGGATTTTGAAATGAGTCTGAAATGATTAGATTTGTATCTAATGCTGAGATTGGAAGTAAGAAATGGCTTGAACCAGCAATAGTGATGGGGAGAAATGGGCTGATTGAGAGACTATTGATGAATTTGATGGAAGTTGGAGGATGGAGCATGCAGAGAGAGGAAATTAAAATGGCACCAGATTCCTGCTTTGGGCACACAGGAGAAGGAGAGTTTAGTTTTGTATCTGACACACTGAATTTGAGACATTGATAGGAATCCAAATGAAAATATTTAGTATGTAGCTGGATTCAATGAGTTGGAGATCAAGAACCACATCTAAGCTCCCAGATATTTATTTCCAGAACTGACATTTTAAGGTGGTGGTCACCCTCTTTCATGATTTAGGAGTAAGATGCTAATTTCTTGAACTCAGAGGCTTTATAGTGTCAGCATCTCAGAAGTGGGCTGTGGTCAGGATATTTTGGGCAGAAGAAAGACAAAGAAGGGGAAGAAGATACATTTTATCTACTTTTCAGTTTTTCCAAGGACCATCTCAGTTGTTGTTCCAGAAGAATTACTCACTTAGGACATTTAATCTATGAATTTTTGTCTTTTTTTTTTTTTTTTAAATAGAATCACTTTCTTGTTCATGTTATAGAAACCATTATGGGGTCAACTTTTGACTTTGTTTTAAGCTTTTACCAAACCCTGTTCTCTATATGTCTCTGTGACATATGTGACAAAAGGTAGAAAGGGAGAAGAAGGGAATTGCACTGTTTTAGTCCTGATATGGAGTTCTTACCTTCATAATTTGATGGAATTCATTTTCCAAAAATACTTTCATTTTTGCCTTGTTCAACATGTCACACTCTTCATCCTTGGTGGCATACTGATAGAAAACTTCGATGACAGTGACGATGCTTTGTAGTAATTTAGGCATCTTTTTGTAGATTTAATTAACCTAAAAGGGAAGAAAAGGAGAGACCCACCTCTTATTGTTCCTTTTTCTTGCTTAAATACATAAGTAGTCTCAATTATTTGTAAAAATTATTCAGAATTAATGAGGGATGATTAATTCTGTTATGATCAAGAGCCAATCCAGAGTTAAATGACTTGTTCAAGTCATATAGCAAGAAAGTGATGAAATTAGGAACACAAATATCTCATTATGGAAATATCTCATATTTCCATTCCTGAATGAATATAGGAGTGATGACTTCCATTTTTGGTCTCTTTGCCTCTATCAGGGATAATTTTATGAACTTTGTTCTGGAGCTGTAAAGGCTTGGGTGTGCCAATCCATCCGTTTCCTCAGTTCCTTTCTAGGTCTCACCCATCACACTAGGGAAGGACAAGTCCATTATCTACAAGGCATGCCTGACTCCAACTAAGGGGTATCAGGGTCTAAACTAGACCCTCCAGACTTCTAGGCCAGAGAAAGTAAATAAAGTGAGCAAAGACAACAACAGGCCTAGGTGACACGGAGCTGGGGCAGCAGCTATCAGGCTCAGCTTCTGTTTTCATTCTCCAAGAGGGGCTGACCCCAGGCTTTACTGATTAGACAACAGAGAGAAAAAGCGCAGTAAGTGAAGGAGGCATTCTGCCTACTGGATAATTTGAGCCCAAGATGGTTAAGGAAATGACCCCCAAAAAAGCTGATACTATCAGTCCCAGTTATTTCTTCATTTTTCTTCTCAATAAAGTTAAATTTATACCAAAGTTCTCCAAAGTATATTCAAAGGAAGCCTGGTACCCAGGGCCTCTTTGCCTTAGAGAACATCCCAGATTCTCATAACTTATAGCTCTAAATACTGCTCACTTACCTAGTTCACCAGAGGAACAAGTAGGATAGAGGCTGAAGCAGCTTACAGGGTGCTGCTAGTTGCGGATAGTGGCCTTCTTATAGAGGAGCTGCTCCCTTTGAGATGTCCTAATTTACTCTCAAATAAGCCCAGCTCCACCTCCATCTCCACCTCCTAGTGTTTATCTTCTTACTTCCTTACTTGTTCACCTGAGATTGCATTAGCAGTTCCCAAATCTGGGCGAGTACCAGCTCCACCTGTCAGTCTCTGGACACTGAAGAAAGACCTTTTGCATATTCAATGAAGTATCTAGCATAATGCATTGGTAACAAATTATGTGGACTTTAACTGAAGTTAAATGTAATGTCTGCAGGGGCATCAGGGAACAAATGTCAAAGAGACATGGAATCTGATTTTTAAAAGGAAGCTTACAGATCATCTGATCAAAATCTTTTTTTTTTAAAGCTAAATTTTCTTATGTAGGATTCCAGTCAAGGCATCACCCATGATATTATTACCTCTTGAAATAGATAATGGCGGCAGAGGCCCTCTTGTTTCTTTACCCAACTCTGTTTACCAGACTTTAGTGGCCTTTTGTCAATGTAGCTTTCTATTCAGCCACTATATAACCTTAAGAAGAGATGCATGCTCTTTAGCATAGCATTCAAGGTTCCTCATGATCTGGGCTGTGGCTTCTCTCTAGCCCCATCTTCTCTCTCCCTCTTCCTCTTAATGCTCTACCAGTGATCAACTACTTAAATTTCCTGAAAATAACATACTATTTCATTTTTTTTCTTGGAATATCTTTTCTCATTATCTGCCTAGTGAACTCCTATTCATTCTTAAAAACCCACATTAGACACCCTGTAAAAACTCTGTCTTGAATTACTCGAGAGTTATAATTGTGTATCTTATTCATATTGTAGTATCAAACTATATTATAATTTTCTAAAATAGTCTTACTATGAAATTAATGTTTAATATAAAAATTGGAAAATATAGATGAACAAAGAAAAGAAAGTGAAAATACCTATAATCCTATTATCCAGAAAAAGCTATTGTTAATTATTTGGTTTATATCCTGAAATACACACACACATACACACACACACACACACACACACACACACGTATATGTCTATTGCCTAGATCATTTCTGGACTATGAGCTTGAGAATAGGGAATGGGCATCATTATTCCTTATGTCATTTGGAGACTAAGCAAATTGCTTGGCAATTAAGGTCCCCAATAAATGTTCGTCAAATTGAATTGAATTGAAAGAGGAGTGAGGACCATGACTACAGTGATCTTCATTGATCAACTTATACTTTTTCACAGGACTAGGGTCTGCCCTCTCTCTTGCCATTGTTACCTCAGAGGACATTACTTCACCTGAATATAGACTGAATCAGCATTGGAATCCACGAGTGCCTTTCTGCTTATCTCTGAGGTCCTTGCTCTGCACGCCATCATTGTGAGCATGTAACACAAATTTCACTAAAGCTGAGTGAATGACATAGACTTAAACTTTTGCAACACAACCATCAGAATTTGGGGAGGAGTGGTAGCAATTATTGGCAAATGATAAATCACATGATTCAAAATTCAACCATTATTATGCTATATGTTTTCTTCTAAGAACTACCCAGAGGGCTGCAGAGTCAGTACCCATACAGTGCCCTGTTTCCCCTGGACACCTGATTTGGGTCAGGTCATCATACTTCATCAGAGGAAAGAGCTTTTCAAAGGTGTGACTGAGACCGTGGGAGTACAAGGGAGGTGGAATTTGCTAAGTGAAGACTAATTAATTCCCTGCAGGAGACGGCTATTGCCAAAGAGGAAGGACAAGGTGAGGGTGAGGTGAAGACTACTCCAGGCGGACATGCTCTTGGGATGAGTGTTCTCCTGAATTAGGGGCCAGAAAACTTTTCCTGTAAAGGGCTGGAGAGTAAATATTATAGGCTTTGCGGGCCAGATGGACCTAGTTACAGCTATTGAACTCTGTTCTTGTAGCGTGAAAGCAGCCATAGGTGATATGTAAATGAATGAGCATGGCTGTGTGTCAATAAAACTTACTTATCGACACTGACCTTTAAATTTCATATAACTTCACATAATTTTTTTCAACCACTGTAGAAAACATTTATAACTTGTGGGCCATCCAAAAATTGGCGATGAGCTAGGTATGGCTTGTGAGCTGTAGTTTGCCACCCCTGGCCTCTTCTGTATTTGCTTGTCAGGAAGACTTGCCAGGAAAGGAGAATCTGAGGGAAGAGAAGTGCTGGGAAGTGTGGGATATCAGAACCAATAATTCTTGTGTGAGAGAAAAGGTGCAGGTCTGAGCATGTTGGCGTGTCTGAGGTGGTAGGTAAAGGAAACAGAGCAAGGGACCTTTGGGTGCTCATAAGAGTGAGGTAAATTTTGACTTGCTGTGAGTAAGAAATTTTTAACATCTGCGTTGGCTGAAAATGCAATGAGCTCTTTGCAGAGTAATTGAGTTTATTGTCTGGAATATTGGAGAAACTTCCATTTCTCATGTAAGCAGTTTTAATCCTTTCGTGTTTTGTTTTCTGAGTATTCTCCAATGTCACCAACCAAAGTTTTGTTGAGCTTTATTTCTTGGTTTGTGTCACGTTTAATGTACCTTTTGGCCCCTCCTCTCCCTTTTGAGAATTACTAGTGTAAGAGTTGGAGTCAATAACCACAAAGGTCCTTTCCAAAACTGAGAATCATGATTTTACCAGAACATGTGTCCCATAGTCATAGGGTGGACGTGAAGACCCCCTTCATAAGTTTGGTTAGTGGTTTTCCCCTTGGAGATGACAGGGTTCAGGAGAAGAGATTTCTTATGGTATGTGTTACATTCTAGGTTTTTCAGTGCCACCATGTGTTGGCAGAAGAAAGGAAGTTGCATTCTCCAGTATGCCAAACACAGTGCTCTGTGGGCTTAAGTATATCATTTTATTAATTCTCACAACAGCCATATGTTGTAGGTATTATTCCCTCCATTTTTCAGATGAGAAAACTGAGGCCTAGAGAATATTTGAAACTTGTTTCAAGTCACTTAGCAGTTAAGTGAAGAAGACAATATTCAAGCTCAGATCTGCTTCTGTCTAGGAATAGCCAGGGAGTAGAGATTATTCATGCAAAAGGCAAGAGGGTTGGGGGACAGTTTTTGAGGAATGGAGTGTTTGACCTGAAGAGAAAACCAACCAACTAACCAACCAACCAAAATTAGTAAAGATAAACTGTGAAGTTCCCTTCCACAGCAGTTTTCACTTGTGCTTGTCTGGAAGGCAGGGTAGTGTTCCTATAGTGCCATCTGGTGGGCTATAGGGATATTGTACAGGAAGTCTTTCTCCTTGACCTTTCTCTTTTCCCTCACTTCCCCCATGCAATTTCTTAGAGTTCTCAGTCTCCATGAATGAGGAGACTATGCAAAAAATAGGGACATAACAAGCAAAGAATGTTGGTTGTCATGATTTTGGGGTGAGTGGAGTCAAAAGAAGTTAGCTATAAAATAAAACTAGTCAGCAAGCATTACCTTCTTTATCCTTCTCACCAGGTACAAGGGTCATTTTTTCTTTTATTTCAAAAAAAAAAATCAAAAATGGATCTGATGTAATTTTATATCTTAGCATTGGGGAGGGAGTTGCGGCAGGCACGATGATACATCTTTCAGCTCCAGACCCAAGCCCTGGAATATACTCTGCTTGGATACTGGTCTTCCTATTCAGTTGTTTCTCTTTGTATTCTTAGTATTCTTTCTCCTCCAAGACCTCAAAAATGCCCAGATGCTAGGAATCCATAACTTATTCTTACTTGTATACTCTTACTTATTTTGTTAACAGCTTTCTCTTCCCACCTCCTTAACTTGTTGCTTGATGCTCTTATTACCATGACCCTTCATGGCTTGTATTCCTTAGTTCCTACTTTATTGAGGCTTTCTGCGTGCAGGACTTAAAGTGGGAAGATTGAGGAGATTGGTTGGAAATATTCCCCAGGGACCATAAAATATTACAGAGGTAGTACAAAAGACCTGCTTGTATGGGAGATATCAGAGAGGACTTCAGAGCCACACAACTTAGTCTGTCCAAGATTCTGCAGCGAGGCCAAGTTCAGTAGGGTGTGGCTGCTGGGGAGAGTTGGGCTAATGGATCTCCCATGATGGGGAGGTGCTAGTCAGGCTTGAGGGAAGGTTGGAGGAGTGGTGCCCACCCCAGAGCCACACAACTTAGTCCATCCCAGATTCTTCCCAGAACTTGGCAGGGAGGAGGGGGCAGGCACCAGGAGTCAGGAGGCTGAGATTGCTGGGAGCCTTGGAGTGGGCCTAGCAGATGTCCTGTGAGGGGGAGATTCACAGGAAAGTGGGGGCAATATCCTCTCTCCCAAAGTCACACCACTCAGTCACAGACACCTCCTGAGTCTGGCCAGGCCTTTACATCCCAGCCCAGGCAGCTAACTCTTCAGCAGGGCATGACTCCATAGGGTGGAGCAACAGGGAGTTCAAAGGGTGGGGCTGCTGCATTTCCCTAGGTCAGGGGTGGACAACCCCTGGCATGCATGCCAAACATGGCACGCCAGTAACTTTTGCTGGCACGAGAAACACTCTCTTATAATCTTCCATTTACAATTGTGAATCTTGCGTCTCAGTGATGAATTTTGTTAAATCTCGTAATAGGAGTAGCCTGACAGATGAAAGTAGGAGCTTGTGCATATCTCTGAAGGTCACAAAATATAAACCTGATGTAAAATCTCTGTCATCAGTGATGCAGCAGCAAAAGTCCCACTGATAATATCAAATGGAGTCATAAAGTTTTCTGTCGGACTATCAGTGTACATGTATACATTAAAAAATAAATGTATTTTTCATCATCATATACTGTGTTTTTGTCGCTCGAATGAATTTTATTATTCGAGGTTCTTCACATACGTACACCTTAAGAGATATGAAGTAGGCGTAACATGTTCTCAAAAAATTAGGGTTGGCACGCAAAAGAATTTTGAGTCAGAGATTTTGCTGTTTTTGGCACGCACTCACAAAAAGGTTGCCCATCCCTGCCTTGGTTAATTCCATAGAAAATGAGAGCTCCACCCAAGTAAGATGGTTTCTGTGGTGTGGTAGAGGAACTCAACACAGGGGCCCTGCTGGCTGTCCCTTCAGTGCTCTCCCCAGAGTCACAAACCCCAGTCTCTACTCACATGATCTTAGTCTGCTCTGCCTTCCCTCCACTGGAGCACAGGGTGAATGGCTGCAAATGAGATTTTGTGTTTTGGCTCTTTATGAGGGTACCTGTGTCTCTAGCAGACTCCCGTCTCTCCCTGGCAGACAGAATCCCTGCTGATTTTCACAGCCAGATGTTATGTGGGTATCTTTTTGTATATTGATTTTGTATGTGCAACTTTACTGTGTTTGTTTTTTCTAATAGTTTTTTTTGGTGGAGTTTTTAGGGTTTTCTATATGTAGAATCATTTCATCTGCAAATAATGACAGTTTTCCTTATCCATTTGGGTGCTTTTTATTTCTCTTTCTTGCTCTGGTTAGGACTTCTAGTACTGTGTTGAATAATAGTGGCAAGAATGAGCATCCTTATCTTATTCCTGATCTTAGAAGAAAAGCTTTCAATTTTTTACCATTGAGTATAATATTAGCTAGGGTTTGTCATATATGGCCTTTATTATGTTGGTACTTTCCTTCTATGCCTATTTTATTGAGTGTTTTTTTAAAATCATAAATGGATGTTGTATCTTGTCATTATGCTAATTGAAATAAACCAGTCACAAAAAGAGAAATATTTTATGATTCCATTTATATGAAATATCTAAAGTAGTCAAATTAATAGAATCACAAAGTAGAGTGGTGGTTGCTAGGGGGTAGGG